TGGAGTGCAACGGCACCATCTCAGCTCACTGCAACCTCAGCCTCCCGGGTTCAAGCCATTCTCCTGCCTCAGTCTCCCAAGTAGCTAGGATTACAGGCATGAGCCACTTGCTAATTTTTGTATTTTTAGTAGAGACAGGGTTTCACCACATTGACCAAGCTGGTCTGGGAACTCCTGACCTCAGGTGATCTGCCTGCCTCAGCCTCCCAAAGTGCTGGGATTATAGGCGTCAGCTACCGCACCTGGCCTCATATGTTCATCCCTTTCTAATGAAACTGGTTGTTTTGTTTTATTTGGGTTTGTGGGAGGAGTTTTCCATTTAAAAATTTTTTATTTACTAAATTAATGCATGCTTCTTGTTAAAATTAAGTTCTGAAGAGTACGCATTTAAAAGTAAGTTTTTTCCCTTAGCTCTCAATTTATATGGATTGATTTTTTTAAATACTAATATTTTAAAGTAGAAAAAGCAGTATATGTTTCTGAGGAAAGTGGTAGATTTGTGTTTTATTATTATGCCTTATACATATATAATTGATGTTCTTTATATTTCAAAAAGTATTTAGTGGCCAGGCATGGTGCCTCACACCTGTAATCCCAGCACTTTGTGGGGTCAAGGCAGGAGGATTGCTTGAGGCCAGTTTTTCAAGACCAGCCTGAGCAACATAGTGAGGCCTCATCTTTACAGAAAGTTTTAAAAATAAGCTGGGCATGGTGATATGTACCTATTGCCCCAACTAGTAGGGAAGCTAAAGTGAATGGATCACTTGAGCCCAGGAGTTCAGGGATGCAGTGAGCTACGATCATACCACATCATTCTAGCCTGGACAACAGAGAGAGACCCTTTGTCTTATTAAAAAAAAAAAAAGATTATTTAACAAATTTACTAATGAGCACATGTGCTAGTATATATACCAAAAATAATCGGGACCAAAAAAAAAAATTTGCAATGAAAAGTAAGCTTCCTTTTTACATTAGGCTAGCAATTTCTGTCCCCCAAAGCAATAAGCATGTCTACATTTTTTGTTGCTTTGCAGAAATTTTCTATGCTTGTGCTTTCATTTTTTTCATATGTAGAAGTTTACTATATTTACTGGTTCTATTTATCAGTGTGTTATAGTGATCTTTTTATATTAGAACACAGAGATCTGCCTCATTTCCTTGAAAATTTTAAAGGTTACAGAGTATTCCATTGTATGTAGCCGTTATGCATACAACATAATTTATGTAACTAGTCCCCAACAGATAAACATTTAGGTTTTTTCTAATCTTTGCTGTTATATTCTCGAGTAAACATCCTTGTGCGTATATTTTGGCTACATGTATGAGTATATCTGTCTCTAGGATAAATTTTTAGGAGTAGGATTGCCACATCAAATGGATTTTAATTTTGATAGAAATTTACCAAATTCTACTCCTGTCAACTAGTGAGACACCTGCATTTACATTTCCTTAACAGTTTGCATGCAAGATAAATACAAAACACAAATCCTTTGTTAAATTCATATGATCTGAATAATTACCAATATTGTAACAATAATCTGTTTTCTATTGCCAGGTACATGTACATGATAAAATAATGATGTATAATTCTAGCTGTAATCATGAATTCAACCTATATTTTGTTTTTCTTATTTACTGTCTTGATTTTAGAAAGAAAACTAAGAATTACAGTTAATAGTTTCTATTGGCATAGAAAAATAAGCATGAAAAGCAAATATTAACAATGTTTGCATTATACGTCAAAGAGAAAATGTACATGGGTAAAAATCTGGCTGTTGTGTAGTTGATACCATAACAGTGCACTTTTTTTTTTTCCAGGAAAAACTATAATTAAAAATCTGCCTATTGTATGCAAAAGTCTAAGTAGCCCTCAAGTAGTAGTGAATTAATAGGTAGGAAATTTAAATTAAAAAACATCTCTCCTTTTACTTTAAACTACAGGTAAATATAGTTTAGCTAACTACATAAAGAGTAAACTGTGACAGACTTTGGTTTCAATATATAACCACTTGGACTAGTCATTCTCTTTCTCAAACAGGAATTGAGATATCCTGCATATATTTGAGAAAAAACAGTTTAAATATTATCATCGAGAAGTTATAGCACAAGCAGATTTTCTGAAATAAAATCATGAATTGATTTAATCTAATCTTGGGAGTAAAAATCTTTACGGAGTGCTGAGCTGTGACTTTGTCCTTTATGTCCATTTTTTCTGTAATTTTACATACATATTTCCCTGGAGTCTAGTAAAACATACTTCTTTGAGCATGTCTTTAAAAAATGTTTTAAAAACTTAATACTTATTTGCTTTTATAGGTACAAAATCTTACCCTAATCAGTGTGGAGCTGCATGCTCGCACTAGACGAGACTTAGAACCAGATCCTGAGTTTGACCCAATCTGTGCTCTGTTCTACTGCATCTCATCTGACACTCCACTGCCAGATACAGAAAAAACAGAACTCACGGGTGTAATAGTGATTGATAAAGACAAGACAGTTTTCAGTCAAGGTATTGTTCATTTTTATTAATGATATACCTGCCCACTCTAGGGTGAACCTTTTAATGGGGGAATTCCTGTGCTGGAGATCTAATCTAAGCAAGCATAAGGACTCTTTTCTAAAATGTTTGCTAAGTTGGGGGTAGGAGATTGTGTATAACTTTGTCCTGTATTTATTATTCTTACTTGAATTATTGTCAGAAGTCAGAAGCATGCACAGTGCACGTGCACAGTGGTGCATACCTACAGTCCCAGCTACTTGGGAGGCTGGGCAGCAGGACTGCTTGTGCCCAGGAGTTTGGTGCTGTAGTGCACTATGATTGTGCCTGTGAATAGCCACTGTACTTCAGCCTGAGTAACATAGCAAGACCCCATTTATTTAAAAAAAAAAAAAAAAAAAAAAGGTTAGAAGCAATGCAATATAAAGATCTCAATAAAAGTTATAGTTAGCCCATATAATTTGTTCTAAGTATTATTTTATAAAATATTTATTACTATTATAGAGTCCACGTCATTATGTATCCCTAAACTGGGTGCACAGTCTTCCTTATGCATGCATATGCAGGTATTTTCCTGCTGATAGAGAGTTTATCTTTGATTTAGGAAGTTAAGTTACTACTATAAGTTAATGGCTCATAAGATACTTTTAAGATATATTCTTACTTTGCTTATATCTCTTTATCTTTCTTTAGAAAGATACATATCTCTCTGGAGAAAGATACATATAAATATATATATTTACATTTACATATACTTTTGGTTCAGAGGTTCTTCATATAGAATGCCATGTAAGGCATTTTATAAAATACCAACTGTCCCTCTGCAGCTTTCAGTGGTCACCATTACAAGTGATTACAGTTCACTTAGGAGGAAGTCTTAGCACAGAATACAACCATATTAAGAATTTACAGTTTATTCAGTGATTTGCTTGATCTGGCACATACCAGCTCATAAGCCAGTTCTTGAATTTTCTGAAATTTTCAACCTAGTTGATGTCACTTTGGTAGTTTGAAATCAGTCATGGGTTGGGGAGGGTCCTTACATCATGACAGGCCAGTACTACAAATTAAGGCTTTCTTTTTTTTTCTTGTAGAGGTGGTGGTTAAACATTTTCATCATACCAGAGATTAAAATGTTCTGTGCTAAGCAAAATCTCCTGCTCGGAAGAGTAAAGACAGAAACAAAGTAATACAATTTATTCACAAGTCATATGTTATTTTCTAGGGAATTTTGTGAATGCAGCCATTTCAGGAGAGTAGCTGAAAATACAAAATTTGAATTTTCAGTTGTATATTAAACTAGGACACCTTTTGAGAGTTTTAAGAAATTGGGTTAATTACGTTTTTACTTGGGGGGATATTTTCTTAATTTGGAATATTTCAGTAGCACAGTTTTACTTAAAAGTAAGAGATAATGTTACTTTTATATTATGAAGGCATATTATTACATAATGTTATATGTAATAGACATTTTGTTTATTTTTTAGATATCAGATATCAGACTCCATTACTTATTAGATCTGGAATTACAGGACTTGAAGTCACCTATGCTGCTGATGAGAAGGCACTTTTTCATGAAATTGCAAATATAATAAAGAGGTACTGTTTTGTATTATCTGATTTTTCCAATTTTTATTCAGAGAGTCGTTTCATGCTAATACAGGTAATAGTGAAGATAAAAGTGAAGGTAGGAAGAAAACGAATCCCTTCCTATGGCCCTTGAAAGCAAAGTAACTCTTGGAAAGATTTTACACTCACCTGCTATTGCCATCACTATTTTCATCAGACAAGGGATAGGAAAAGTAGTGTCAAGATTGAGAGGCCAGTGAAAGGTAAATATTTGTTTAGCCTCTAACTTCCTAGCTGTACTTGAGGATGGTTTTTTTTATGGAGCTGAAATAATGGGGAACTGTGTAAAGTTCCATTGTATTATTCATTAAATAGGTTTCTACCTTGGGAGTCAGCCACCATTTTAGTACATTTTTCAGCTTGTTTTTCTTTTTTAAAGCTTTCTGAGTTATAAACAAGCCAATATTTTCAAAAAGCTTTGGGGTGTAATCTGTGTATAAATTTATCTGTTCATAAATGTAGGACTATCTATTACATATTCTTGTGCACAGAGCTCCTTAAAAAATGTTTTTTGACCATTTGGTAGTTAGTTGGTTCTCAGATTGATGAATCTTGTCCAAGTTTATGAAAAATAAATTTTGACAATATTCTAATATAAAAATAAAATCATTGAGTGGATCATTTGCATTTTCTCAAGAGTGTAACTCTTAGAAGCCATGGACTCTTTTATTAGATGCTTCACTAAAGATTCTGCCCATTGCTAGGTTTAGGTTTTTCGATGCCTAAAGCAGGCTAGAAAACACACTCTTTGGCTCCTGATGTACAGAAAAAAGCTGTCCATGAGCATGTTGTTATACTCACCCCTTTTTGTTTTGCTTATATAGTTGAACTTTATCCTATAAAAACTTAATCAGTATTCTACTTTAAAAATTAAGATTATATTCTACAAACTTGTCATCAGATTGAATCACAGATAGGTTAACATAAACCATTCTGAAAATTAGAAAACCAAAACATTTGTTTTCTACAAAACAAAATTAAATGACGGAGCATCAAACATAGTATGCTACTACTCATGACTCTATGAAGGAAAAAAGAGGGAAGTATTTTTACTATTTATAGCACTGGTGACTAGATAGATTCCCATTCATTTGAGTCTTGTCATTGTCAGTCCTACCTTTTATCTTCTCACAGAAGTTGTCATCAACGTGTCACATCCTTTCAGTATCCACACTTCTTTTATTTCTGCAAGCAACTCAGAAAAAGAAATATGTAAGCGTTTCAGTCAATACTATTTTGTGTACCAACACATGTCCAGTAATGTCCCTGGGCTTGGTATGCTTGCCTTTTCCTTGTTAGGTATATCCTCAACAATAGGATTACCTGCCAACATTGAGAATTTTGTCAGTCATTTACAAATATAACTTCCTTAAATGTCCATAAAATGGATTATACTAGTAATTAAGGAAAATGGAGTAAACAAAACTGTCATAAAAAGAAAAATGCTTAAATGTCAACTTTTCAATTCCATAGTGTTTTTTATATATTAATCCAGCCGGGCGCGGTGGCTCAAGCCTGTAATCCCAGCACTTTGGGAGGCCGAGGCGGATGGATCACAAGGTCAAGAGATAGAGACCATCCTGGTCAACATGGTGAAACCCCGTCTCTACTAAAAATACAAAAAATCAGCTGGGCATGGTGGCAC